GGTCGTCAGATGTTAAACCTACCATTCAGCAGGCGAGAATTGCATCAGGCGTCAAGTCGAAATTGCTTTGTCATATTGACTGTAACTGTTATTATGTCGAGTTTACCGCATGGGGAGCGATTTTCATCACGAACCACCAAAATTTGTATCTTCTTGGCCTAGACTGGATCTTCCGATCACCCGAATACATAGGCCAATCACTTCCAATACAATAGCCGTCGAACGTCTGCGAGAGAAATATACAAGTCTTTTGGGAAGGCCTCTTCAAGTGTACAAGCTTCACTGTCCAATAAGGCGGGTTTTGTTCTAGTGTTTCGTACGAGACGCCCTGTACCTTGCGCCAATGGCTGATCAGGAGCTGGATCGCTTGGAAATAGAGCAGAGGTTATCCATCTGGTGAGCTACTCATCTTTGGCTGCACCTATTGTTGTGATTAAAGAGCCAAACGGTTAGCTTCGAATATGCACTAATTTCTCGACGGGTCTGAATGCTACTTAGAGCACCCTCCAATACCTTTTACTGCTTCCGGATACTTTGTTTGCGATATTCAATGGGAGTAAATGTTTCGCAAAGCTGGATCTTACCGCCGCAGATCGAGGTACATGAAAATTCACAAGAATGACTCACCATCAATACACACCGGGGTCTGTATCAGTACCACCACCTTCCGTTCGGAGTCAAATCTGCACTAGCCATATTCAGCAGAGAATGGACACAATGCTGACAGATATCAACGGATAAGCTGCATACCTGAGGCAGTGCTCATGACTTATTCGAAAAGCTGAATCAAGTTCATTGCCGTGTTGAAGAATTCGGATTCTGACTCCGTCCTGAAAGATGGACCTTCTTTATGCATTCAGTTATGTTTCTCGGTTTTATACTTGACAGGAACTCCAGGCGCTCAGACCAAGCGGACATCTGGGTAATCAGGAAGATGCAGCCACCACAAGGTGTTGCAACACTACGGTTCTTCCTGGGACTTATAAAGTATTACGTTCCGATCCCACCGCACATGCATTGCTTGCGTGATCCATTCAGTGATCTACTGATCAACGATCAACGCCGGAACTCATCCGAAAAATGCTAGCGATTATTTGAAAAGGCAAAACCCGCTCTTTTCCGATCTTCTGTTGACACATTTTGACCGTCTTTGAGATTTTGGTGGCCACAGACGCATCGAACTATGGTATTGGGGCAGTCATAGTCCACAATTTTTCGGATTGCTCAGAAAATGCAATCGCATATGCGGGCAAATCACTATCTCCCGCAAGACGAAATTCCGGCCGAATACAGAAAGTAGTCTTAGCGATATTCTCGCTGTAGAGAAATTCCACGGTGTTTAAGTGTACATTTCTTACCATAGGCCTCTGTTAGCAAATTTTGTTCAAAGTCGGAAAGCCCTGTCTATACAGCAAACAGGTTGCAGCGGTGGGCTACAACATTACTGGGTTGCGACTTTACAGTGAAGCACAATTTCCACAATGGACATTAGGCAAGGTGATGCACTTTCCCAGCTATTGGCGAATCAGTAGCGCCAGCACGAAGAAGCCATCATTGCAGCGATTTATCTGGAGTCGGAAGTGAAGCTGCTGTTGTTTGAAACGCTGAGAGGACTTCCGGTAACTTCTGCGGTGGCACATAATGCGTCGATGCGGGATGCCGTTTTACAACATGCGGTCAAATTTCACACTATACAGTGGCCGTAGAACAACATAGCTGGAGGTTTGCAAAGTTAGTCCCGAAGGAAAGACAAACCGTCAGGGGTCAATGGATGTTTCTTTTAGCTGGAGGAGTTGTTATTCCCAGGTAACTTCACCAAAGTATCCTGAAGCAGTTTCGTCGTTGGCGCCCTAGCATTAATATATTGAAAATGATTACGCGAAGTTAGGTTCACTGGCCAAATATTGTCACGATGCTGGAGCATCTGTAAAAGTGGTGCTCGAAATGTACGCTTTTCAGCAAGACTCCCAGAAAATCGGAACTGTCTTTTTAGCTGTTGTAATTGAAACAGTGGCTGCGAGTACACACTGATTTCTTTAGTTCTGTGGGTGACCAACAGTATCTTGTTTTTGTTGATTTTTTCTGCTAGTGGCCTGAAGTGTTTTGCATAGAATTTACAAGTGGCGTAACAGTTAGTATGTTGAGAAGATTTTTCGCCCAGCATGGAATACCAGAGACCCTAGTAACGAACAATGGTTCTCAGTTTACCAAATACTACACAGAACCTTATCACGCACCTATGCTCGCCGCCGTTCCACTCTCAATGCAATCGGCAAACGGAGCGCTTTGTTGACACGCTTGAACTGACAATGTTGAAGGTGAGGGGCTAGAACTACACTTGAGATATCTGGTATGTACATATCAACTCCGAACCTTTAGCTACCAAATCAACGGTCCCCAGTAGAACCACTGCTGAGTAGAAAACTCCGTACTCTGTATTCATTGGTGCTTCTGAAGCGCCTCGCCTGACAAGAGAAGAACACGAGAATGGAGAAGTACTACAATCAACGCCACAAAACGCCATCACGTCTATTTTACCCAGGACTGAGAGACTGTCGCACTAGAAGACTACGGTGGATACCAGGCTTGATCCAGTGTAGGGTTAGACACCTACTCTATGAAGTTCTACTGTTAATGCCGTCAACGAGAATTAAGATAAGTACCAGTGAACAATTGCTACCACTGGATAGTTAGCTGGACAATTTAGCATACACCCTGGAGCCCAGAAGGAACTGAATGAACCTTGCCCAGTGTGTCTGCAGAAGAAACAAACTTACAGTCACGATAATGGGCTGACCTGATAGGGAAATCAGCGGTCATAATGATGATGAATCCCAGGAGGAAGTCGTACTTCGCTTTTCACGAGGACGGTGCTAAGGGAGCCGGTCCCTCCGTAAGAGCCCCACAAAAATTGGTCCCACGCAGCTTGAAACTGATTGGGTAGCGAATGGGAGCACTGCTTGGAAGCCTACCAACGAGAATTATGTACCTTGTACATTGCTTGAACAGCGGACATGCGAGTTTTCACGCATTTAGTAGTTGCTGGAATTCGGGAACTTTTAATTGGGCCATTCCTCCACAAATTATTTGTTTGCCCTCTTTTTTCGTACATTCATTATACACGTTATCTGTGGGTAGAAAACACCTCGGCTATTATGCCTCACTAGTCGAAAAAGCGGAAATAGTGACAGAGGCACGCCAGCTGAGCCACATGTAACCGATAAGCGTCGTTTCGGTGAGCTAGCAGCCGACTGTCATACCGCAAAATAAAGTTATATTCTGTGTCAGGAATGAGATCGTGCTTGAAGTGCGAAACTAAGTGAGATGGGGGTACGAAGTAGCTCACAACCCGAACGCCACTGAGGTCGTTTCCTAGTCATATCAACAAGTACATCCAAACAACTGTTCATCGCCTTTCTGACTCCAACCAGGGAGCCGCGAGGCTCTAAAGAGACCACCTTCGATCTAATGTCCTTCTTTCCCCTTGGCCAAGTCATTGCTTGGCCTCACCTCTTCTTATATCCACGCCCGGTCGCACACCCAGTGCACGCCGCGGGGGTTAGTGTGCCGGCATGCGCAACACGTGACCCAGCCTTCGGAGCCTGTCGCTTTATATAACGGTGCTGAGCGGTTCACTTCCTTTCTCTGTTTCATAACCATGCCGCCGAACACGCTCATTGCCCACTCGATGTTCCCACCAGATTTGAGCTAAGCTGCTAAGGCACCGGTGGTCGAACCTAACTAGCCGTTTTACGTCTGCCCATCTAATGGTCCAGCTTCCAAAACCTTGGAGTAGGGTCGAACGTACGGCTGCGTTGTACACTACCTTTCAGGCAGTGACTGATGTCGCGCCGGCACTATAGGTAGTGAAGGTTGGCAGAAGCGCCTCGAGCTTTTGCTATACGGTTCGTGACCTCCCAGGCTCTGATGCAACTATCAAGGTAGTGGAATTTATTAGCGACCTCTAGGTGATCACCACAAACGGTCAGCACAGGAGTGAGTCCCTGCCATTCCTGATGGAGAACATTGCACTTTGATGGTACAAAACGAATCTCAAATCGGCTGTAAACCTGATGCTGATCTACCCGGTGCTACTTGGCGGGTTTGTAAGCCGTCACAGATTATGGCACTCGTCAGCATACTCCAAGTGTTGAAGTGGATCAAATAGGAACGGTTCCGCACCTAAGTCGTGCCCGGTGTACGCGATTTTCATTATTTCGTCAATTGCGAAGTTGAAATGTGACAGTAGGCACCCTTGTCGTACACCGCTGGAGGTATTGAAGGGCGACCCCCATACATACTGTTTCTCGGGTGCTTCCTACAAGTTTTGCCAGCGGCTCTTTGTTTTATTCGAGAAATTGTTCGACAGTGATCCGAGTAGTCGTGCCGATTATCCGCACCGTTCTGTTTGTTATTTCAACTAGCTGCCATCAAAAACAACTCAGACCTTAAGGTCGAGAAGTCGTATTGAAATTCATTGGGCGAGATGGTTACAAATGCATCTCGCTCGTTCAACACAATGTCATACCAAATCAGAAGTCGAGCAAATTTGACTTGATGCACCTGTGTTATCGATAAACCGCAAAAGCGCACTTTCTTATCTCACACGTAGGTACCGTGATGGCGATGGTTTACTTTGGATTGTCTAACTGACCGTGTGATTGCATATGGTCTCCTCAGGATAGCTGTTTATTTAGAAGCCTCAGCGTAGTTGCAGTGGTCGAACTCTGCTTGCTAGGTACATCATACAGCCAGTTCAGAAAACGTTTAGCCTCACATCCAGTTGGATAGACAAGCACGTTGTATTAGCTGTTCACCGGAAGCGTGAACGCGGTTCTTTCAAATACCAACTGAGTGCCCTCGGTCTGTGCGCCCTGCATGCGGCTGCAAGGCCACTTCGTGTAGTGTAAGCATATATGCTTCCGTTTACGCTTTTCTCACAATGTTCTTCTTGCTGTCACATGTTTTCCTAACACGTTTTCCTATACGTTTTCCATCAGCTTTTCGGCTCACTCCAAGTGGAATCCAAGACATTGCACATTTTCCATTCAAATTCGCCCATCCCATCACTGACCTACACACATGATCCAGTCGGACATTACATGTTTTTCGACGAATACAATGTCGAGAAGCGGTCACGTGTCAAGTTAATCACCGCTGACGAAGGTGTGTTTGTTTGTTCAGTTATGTCACTGCTCCGCAAATTCCATGTTTCTTTTGCGCGTTTGCATTTTTTTCGTTTTTTGTGTTTGTGAGTTATCTTCTATACCCTAACAATAGATCAGAATCAAATACTTTGATTTGCTCAGTTCTGTCATTCTGGCGCACATTCACTGTCCACTTTGTGGGGTTTTTTTAATCTTCTATATTGGTTGTTTGATAACCTCGTTGTGGCTGTGCTCTCATAAAACCGATATCGATTCTACTGGTTACATGAGACAGTTGGTCGTTGATAGCCCGTAGGCTTAAGGACCACAAGTCTGCCTTGTAGTCTAAGGGTGCGGGTTCGAGCCTGCATAAGGAACGGCCCTTACACTATCCTTAGCCCACGTGCGACTGTTGGTGGTTTCGCGGCGGGGAAATGTCGGTACTGCATACCGGCGTACTGCTAATTACCCGCTTGGTCGTTGCTGGGGGAGACGGGGTACACTATCCTTGTGACCGTGCTAAACTCACAGAGTGGTCCCATGTATACAGTGTGGAACTGGCTGCTGCTCAGCCATCGCTTTGTGTATGCCTGGTATGCATGATTCCTCCATTTGACAGGCAGGTTGCTGCTTCTGTACGTGTTGAAATAGTGTGGGCCAGCCTCGTTGATGGAACGTGGATCCCGTCTACTTTATTTCTGGTCTTATTCCTCCGGTTTTACCTTGGTTATGGGATGTGTAAATGGAGCTGTGTGAGATGTATCGCAATACACCCATGGTCCCTTCGTTGACACGAGCGTCCTGTGGCTATCTTGTAGAGTTCACAGTGACAGGCAAATCCGGAATCGGATGCCGCTAACCATGTGGGGCTAGATTTCTGCTTTGCTGCATCTGAACTGCCATTCACTCGCCATCTGTTCGTCCTGCAAATGCATTTCGTTGCTTGGGGACCAGTTCTTCTCTTCCGAAACTATTTTCATAACCCATAGTTTTGTTCTCCTTATCATAATTGGGTTCACTTTTACATCGGCTCATGCGGGCATCATGAAGCCGGCGTGCTTTTCATACTCACCTATGATTTCGGAAGCACTCATGAACGACCTGGATGTGCGTTTCTTTAATGTCTTTGAACCTCCTAGCTTCATTTATGTCAGTGTGATAGCCCCCATTCGAATTTTTCTTTGTTCCATGCTAATACTACTTCCCCTGACTCGTGCTTTAGTTCTGGGTGGTGCAATTCTGATTGAATGTGTCATACAGTCATGACCTATGCCAATCTTTTGACACGTGGCAGATACTGGTATCTGTTTCTCTTTCTGCTGTAATGCTTTCCTAAAGCTTCACTGTTAACACAGTCACTAGTTAGCCTTGCTTCTGCGAATTCTTCCTATTGTCTGGACTCGAGGAGATTGATTTCACTTGTTTGTGGGATCTATGAAGAAGGACTAACCTTCGTTAATCTGTAGCTACCCTTGGATGCTTTTTATCTGTAGCCCAGCGCCACATTGGCTGTCATGAGATGCAGGTAACCGTGAAAGCTTCTAACAGACTGAGCAATGTGTTCCCACGCGTTCTTCGCCTCACGCATCCCCTCTAGCATTTTGCTTGAAGTTGCCGGCCCGTAGCTTTAAGGACCACAAGGCTGTTTTATAATCCCGGGACGCGAGTTCAAGCCTGTGTAAAGACCAGAGGACCGTCGCAGTATCTTTAGCCCACTTCGACTCGCTGTGGTTTCGCGGCAGTGAAGCGTCGGTACTGCGTACCGACGTACTGCTGGTGTCTTTTCCCTTCAGGTTGAAAACTTTGCATCACTTGTGTGCGAACGGTTTATCCATGCTAGCGACATTCATCATCATCAGTACATGTTAGCCGAAGGTGAGGAACACACCTCAGCTAATGTGCCGCAATACAAAAAGATGAGGCTGAAAAATCACACTACAAAAACTATGATGTTATATATTATATTATGCGTTCTGCATGAGATCGGGATTGGAGGGGAACCTAAAGGATGGGGGATTGACAGGGAAATTCACAACACAAACGCCATTGGGGCCGGCTCCTAGCCATATCAGCAAGTGTGTCCAACCAAACGTGTTCATCGGGGTGCACCAACCAACGCCTGTTTTGAAGTGAATGTGTGCTGCCATACGCAGCACGTTTCCCAGCCATCTGAGCGACACTCAATATCATATCATCACCTTCACGGCGCATCGCTGCTTGCCAGTTTATTATTTTACTGCCTTATAAACTCATGCCTCTTATCTTTTCTCCCTCTTCCTCACTTTAGGCATTCCTCTTTCTGTTCAGTGGAACCGGAATGGCTACCCATATCCAATTCAAATCGCGCAGTTCGGTCTAAGTCATTTCTCTAAGTTGGTCCGTCTAATGAATTCCACCGGCACTTCTAGCGCTTCTACTCTACCAGCAACATTGCCACTCAGTCTGGATCTACTGACTCCTGCAGACGGAGTACTGCATCATTCAAAACCACAATCTTGGTTACCGGTCGGTAACAAGGACGGGACGTATAAATTCTCAGGTTTGAGATTGCCTTATATATTTATGTAAGCTATTCAAATAGCACTTTCAATCCACAGTGCACATATTTGTTTTTTCCCCATACGCTAATTGCCTCTCTATTTCCTAGTGCGATCGTTTTGACCAATACACACCTTTCAACTGGTTTCATCATTGTTGACAGAAGGAAGGAAGTTATGGTTGTTACTTATATGCTCAACATTCTGCAACATACTGTTTGCTCCGCCGCAGCATTCAATTGTTTTTTTTTAAATGATAACGCCACATGGCGCTATCCAGGTCCTTGGGGTCAACGTCGCGAAGGCGAGCAGCCATCGCATTCTCCATTTCGCACCTATTCTCACCGTTATCTGGAAAACTAGCATTAAAGCTTCCTCGATTCACTGTACCGGAACGACACATTTATTTACGAAAATGTACGTGGAATTAGGTGTGCACTAACTTGTCATCAGTCCCACACTTAACACTACGTAGTACATGGTTCATACGTACCTCATGCTGGCGTATGGCGACGTAGTCTAGCTGGTGTTAGCAAAGCACGTTTTCTCGAGCGCAGGCCAGTGGAGCTCACGAATCGTGGCCACCTAGTCGTCTGCCCGAAAGACCCGAACCAGCTGGTCAAACTCAGCCGATGCCCAACAGTCCAATTGCAACACACCGGAAGATGTCTGTTGTGATAAGTGACGACAATCAAAAAGGAAGTCTCAGTGGTGCTCAGCAGAATCGTATATTCCCAGAGGTATCGCATATTTATAGAAAATACACTATTTCTTTCCCACTGGTTAGCCTTATTAGCAATCTTTTCTTTCCTTCTGTTTCATTGGCTCGTGGTTGTCCCATTGTGTCCACTCTATCACTGGATTGCATCTCGATGTCGTTTGTGTTCTATAGCTAGTACCAGATTGGTCGTATTTCCTCGGTCCACTAATGCTCGGCTGGTACGCGGACAGTCTGTCGTTAATAACGGTCTTACGTCCCCCATCGTCTAGCTGACCAGTCTGTGCTTCCGGCTTTTTGATACCCGCAACGTGCTATTGGCATGTTTGTCGCGCTGCAGTATTGGTTTTCCTTCACATGATTGGTCACCGTCCAGTCGCGTGAGGTCTCTTCGCTCGGGTGAATATGTTATGTTCTACGATCCGTGGTTAGCCTGTCAGACCGACCAGACTCGGCCAATTTCTCAAACCCCATTACATCGTGTTGTTTTTTTCGCATGATTGTCTACTGACCCATCGCGGTGACCCAGAGCCCAAGTACGCGAGGTTTCCTCGCTCTGGCGGATCTGCTGCGTTCCATCACCCGCGGTTAGACTGTCGGGTCAAACAGGCTCGCCCGTTTGCTCAAGCCCCATTACATATTTTCCTTTTTGTTTTGTTAGGATTGTGTTACAATAAGTTCCATACTGTTTTCCCCTGCATGTGAGCTTTCTTTGCAATATGGAAGCAAATGTTGGTAGCTCAGGTTGCTCAGTTGGTGGTCTATGTTCGCTGAGCTCGACAGGTTGACTGCAGACGTTTCGTTCTGCTGGAACAGTTTTCTGCTCCCACAGCCACACCAGTATGTCGCTCAATTCATCTGCAAGCGCAGATCTCCCAAATTTGAAGAGAGTTGTAGGTAGTCTATCTGCTCCTGCGGCCTTGTTCAGTTTCAACAGTCTGCTTTCACCTTCGACCTCTGCGGGTGAAGCCGGGTCCGAGGGGACGGCCCAAGAAGAAAGGGAATCGGTGGCCGATAAGGAGAGTGTTAACTTTGATTGATTAAACTGCTTTTCAGTGTGTCCGGCCAAACGTTTTGACAAGTTTGGTTAGTCTGTGGACTCTCGTCACACATAGTCTCGCTTACCGTAGCTATGCTTCCGCCCGTTTCTCGTACCAAACGGAATGATATCCTTTGGTTATTAATGGCAGAAGTTGTCTCTTCCATTACACAATGAGACCACCAGGCTTTACAGTCTTTGCGAATCTCATTGTGTTCGCTTCTAGACGGAATGTATCGATGAGCATCCGGAAGTTCAAGAGACTGCATGCAGACCCAATGTCTAGGTTGGCGATCTGATTTGCCTCCTACTGATAACATCTGGCGGATATGCGACCAGTGATCTTCAAATGTGTTCAGTGAGGGCTTACTCCGTTCGGGTGCAAGCGTGCTTTGATGCACATTTCGAACATGTGACTTCGCCATTTGACAAGTATCTGTGTGCACACAGCATTGCGGACTTCCTCCAAAACGCACACGCAGGTCGGCACATACCAGTGCGTAGTCGTAGTCCATGCTCGTACTGCAAATCCGGCGGTAGTTTTAAATACATCCTCTCCAACGGTAACTGATCGCGATATGGTCGATTTATGTCTATGGTTTATCCGAGGCTGGTAGGTGCCATTTCACTCTTCTGCGGGTACTGCGTCGGAAATTCGTTCTCGCAACAAGGAGACGAGCATCTTCACAGAGATGTAGCAACCGCTCACTGTTGTCGCCTTAGATGGCTACATCACGTTTGCCCCCCCTTCCCCCACGTGCTTAACAGTGAAGTGAACAACGAAATGGGTTAGAAAAAACGGTAAATGATAATACTGGAACTTGTAAGACTGACCAGTGACTTTAAGAAGCCGATTGCATTAGCTTCACTGATTTTGCGGATTCACCGTGCCAAATGAAATTTCCAGCTACTGAGTTGATCGACTCCGAATCGCACAGCCGGAACTGGTACGGATTGTCTCAGTGATAGGCTCACTAAGCAGTATTCTCTGTTTTCTATTTCGGTTGATTTCGAGTCCATAGCTATATGCAGTCTATGTGTCTGGTAATACCGCTAGCTTTAAGGACTCTCGATTGGACCCCATTGATTACGGGCTGGTAGATTACCTGATTTAGACCTGCATTAATTACTGCTCGCCACCGGGTGACAACGTAACTCTGTTGTTTCGTTGTGCGCTCCATCAGAGGACGTACACATAATGTTTGGAGGTCGTTCCCGAGTTAATCATGACTGTGGTAATGTACTCGTTACTTGTAGAGCATATGATCAAGCTGGTCACTTACAGAACAGCATGGTGAAGACTTCTTTTTGGTCAATAGTTGTCGAACCGCCGTTGTGTCAACCACATGCTTCACATCAACAGGATCCCTGTTCAGCATACCCATTCACCTTGCATCGCCTGGTTCATGGGAAACGGCGCCCTGCCATAGACTCGGATTGGCACTGTCCCAATTAGCTGCAAATAGCTCACGCTAGTTCAAGACTGTTGCTCGATCTGAAGCACTTTTTAGCTTTCGGCCGCACTCTGTTGCTTAGTTTGATGGCACTTTCTTTTATGAGCTTGATGAACTCCCAGTTTCGATGCAATTGATCGCCCGCTTACGAAATCTTTGCCCCATTTTATTAGAACGCAAGCATTTGCTCTACTTCAAATTTAGCTATCACCCGTATCGTCCTGAACTAGGTACTGACTGCATCTGTTAGGATTACATGGCTGTATTGGTGAAATAAGAGAACCTCTGAGACTAAAATGTCGGCAATGTTTGAACATATACAGTACTGTTAATATTTTTTAACCATAATCCCGAAATCTCTTAGTTTGTGAACATTTCCACTATTAGATCTGTCATTTGGATCGTTGGATGTGGCGTTTTATACAGCTCTTTAGCATGCTCTGTGTTTCACTATCATTAGTGTAATCCTCTTAACTCGCATGTAACGTCAATCTCGATTCGAATATTTCAAGAGTGGTTTTAAATGAACTTTGTTGGCACCGATACACAATTATCCAGCGAATCCTTTACCGTTTAATAGATGCTGCACATTTAACAGCTATCATCCTAACTCTCGCCAAACTAGCGGGGAGTTCTACCCCGCTCATCAAAACTCAACTTTCCCCTACTCTGATCGATATCCAATCGGTCACCTTCCACACCAGAAACCTCGCGCGCCGACATCAGTCGGCTTTGTTTGCAACTGGGATCGCACTCTTGGGACAATGTCAACGACGTCGTGTGCCTGTCTCAACCCGTTCAGTGATCGCAAGTTACCCACGTGACTGACGCCTCCGCAATGCCTCACAACACAGCAACAAGAAAACTAATGTGTACTCGGTCCATCCATCCGCCGCTTCAAAATCGTGCTCCAAAACTATTCGTATTCAAGTACCTTGTGATAACTGTAATAAGAAATTTTATTCCAGGTGCGTAAATTTATGGGTAGCGAAAGTGCAAGTATGACATTGCACACCGGACTCCTTTTGGTCCTGTACCAAGTGTATGATCAACCCACTGGTTAACTTCGTCGCCGCACTGCCACAGAAATGTGACAAACTGGCGGCGATTGTGCAGCGTGCCACGGGTGGTTTAGCAGACGCATTGGAACCAACTGCAGCCGCACTCGACTCCCATCGTCTATACTTAAGCTCATCTTTGGAACAGAGTGGCCAAAACAAGTGTCTGATTAACAGCGTAGAGCCAGCAACTTGCATAGAGTGCTTTTCCCCGGGGTGTGTCTGTGGCATATAATACTCCATTGCAATCATATTTATCTAGCACTACCGAAAGTGATAACTTACGCACCCGTCGTCGCTGCATGCAAACCCAGGGGAAAGTTTGCTGGTGTAGCTGCAGCTACTCCAATGACACGAATACCAATGCGCCTCCGAGACGACCGCCCATCACGCCGCTAGTAAAAGAAAGCACTCTCTTATCCAGTTACGAACAACAGGAAGACGCACGATTCGACGAAGATGATATGCTCCAACGCGCAAATTTTATCAATGATAAACTACTTGAAACACTGGGAAATTGTGTACCAATCAATGGAAATCCAGGCCAAATAGGCTGGTTTCTTTCGTGTCGTCCGCCACCCAAACTCAGTTCACTATGGCAAGCTAAGGCTACTTCAGGTGACATTTCAGGCGGGTGACGAAGCGGAGACCGTCCTGTTGTCAGTTCACCGTCTTCATGATTCGTCGTGCGGCGTTCGTATATTCCCTGACACCTCTTGGAGTGAGCATCAGC